TTCAATATTACTTCATTTTTTCAACTAACGCTATTACGTTCGTTTTATGTAACAAAATCCCGTGATCTCGCAATAATGCTGACTACATCACTTCATTGACTAGTCAGTTATTATTATTGCTCGATCTATTTATTATAAACATATTTTAGGGAATATACATATGGGAAAACAAAGAGGATCGAAATTTAATGTTTATAATTGTTGTTTGCTCCTTCCTTTATTTGTTTATTTTTATCTTTAATTTCTTAAAAACCCATCTTCTTAGAAATTTCTAATTGTGCTGTACCAATTGATCTTAGATAAAGCATGACAGCTTTACTGTCCCATCCGCCAATTGCACGAATCTGTGTTAGAGAGAAACCAGCCTCCATTGCAGTGGTTGCACCACCAATTCTGATACTATGTGCTGTATAACAGCCTGTTAAATGGGCATGTTCTGCCATTCTTTTAACAACAGCACTGATTGCACCTACTGACATTTGTTTCTTTGTTTTTGATAAAAATAGGGGCCAGTTAGCAGGAGTTTTCGGACAGATTTTCAAGTAATTTATAAGAAGTTTAACTGGGCAGTAAAGGTTATTTGACATTTCAATTGGAATAAACCTTCCATTAGAGAATTGGTCAGTTTTGGAGGTAGATATTCGGACCCAGCATAGGTTATTACAGAATTTGATGTCATTCAACTTTATCTTACACAATTCTGAGGGGCGACGCATAGTCCTTAGATCAATTGCAACAAGAGCTGCATCACGAATCCACATAGTTCTATTAATATATAGTGGTTTATTCGTAACAAACTGACATAGTGCAAAAACAGGTAAAGGGTTACGAGGCCAATCTGGTTCGCGATCTTTACGAGATTCTTTCATGAGTGCTTTATATACTCTCTTTACATTGTATGCTTTTGAGGGATCTGGTAAAGATGATTCTAGATGTTCTCTAGACACTGCTGCCAATATATCAGGATAGCTTGCAATGGTATCGGTTAAATCAAGCCAAATTAGGCATGATAGAAGGGTTTTTTCTGAGGAGGGAAAAGGAATTTGACCTGTGATTTTGCAGAAATTAACAAAGGTATCTCAGGCTTTATCAAGACGGATGTTCCAGTTTTTTGAGCAGGCCTTTCTAACCATGCAACGAGCTTTCTCCAATAATGCCTTTACTAATTTATTCTGGCTGCCATAAATTGCCACCTCAGGTTTCTTAACGGTTCTACCTCTCCTGAAGCTCCTTTTTTGAATGTTATCCAAGGTGAAGGTAAATCTATATAATCAGTTCGGTAACTCATTAATATTGGCCACCATTCTGCGGAGGGCCACTTTGGGATGATTATAGTTGCTGTGGAACCTTCTTCTATAATGTGTTGGAGAACTCGGTGAATAAGACCTAATGGAGGGCAGACATAATTGTTCTCGCCTTTTCAGATTTGTGAGAAACAATTTACTGCTTCGGTTTCTGGGCAGTAAAGTTGGCTGTTGAACCTTGGGAGTTTCATATTGAGGTGGTTTGCCATATGGTCTATTGTGTGTGGGCCCCATTTTTTCTCTAGCATGGCAAATACCTCTTGAGAAAGCTTCCAGTCAGAAGGGTCTAAGACCCGAGTTAAATTGTCTGCAGGGTTTTCTTGAGAAGGAACCCAAAAGGTTTCGTTTAACCAGATATCGTATTTGTCCAGTAACTCCCAAAGCTCTCGGAGTACCTCCTTTTGCCAGAAAAGTTTTCCACCTTTGGTAACTATGCTTAGGGCTACACAATTATCGATGTAGATATCTACTCAAGAATGGCTTAATAGGTGAGAAAAGGATTTTATTCCTAATATTACTGACTGGGTCTCTAGTTTGGCTATTTCTCTGCAGGACTTTACTGATTCCCAACTCCCAAATACTCGATACTTTTTGTAAACTGCTGCCCAGCCAGTTGTGGAGGCATCGACATAAAGTGTCTTTACTTTGGAAGGTTTCCATGCAGGCCTTCCATTTCTTATTTCTAAATTTTGTGCTAGCCAATTGGCATCGTTTCGGGCTTGATTGGTTAATATTATTTGTGAATCCCACTCCCAAGGTTTTCTGTTTATGGCATCTATTAGTGTGTAAAATTCTAGGCAACGCACTTTTGCGAGTGCGAAAGCCCTGTTTAAAGATTGTACCTTTCCTGCTACTGCAGCTAAACGTCGAGCTGAAATTGTTTCTATTCTGGCATATTCTCGAAGTAGCTTTTGAGTTTCTATAATTTTTTCCTTTGGGACCACAACCTCTGCTTTGACTGTATCTATTATTAGTCTGTAAAACCTTGGATACTGGGTTGGTTCCCATTGGCCCTTGGATGGTTCTCTTACAAACCCACAATTCTTTAAATCTACTTCTATTATAGTGTCTCTTATTGATTTTAATTCCTGTAGAGAGAGATGTGCGACCCAAATATCGTCGACATGGTTTCTACAGAAAATTCCTAGAGATCTCTAATGGCCAATTAGTGATCTCATTATTTTGGAAAATACCCAAACAGCATGAGATAAACCGAAGGGTAGTACCCTGTAATGATACCAATTGTCTAGGACTTTGAATTCCAAGAATTTTTGTGCTTGTTCCGTCATTAATATATGATGGTAGCCATCTTTGAGATCCATAGTAATGATATATTAATTTTTCCCGATTGTGCACAAGAACCCTCCTAAGCCTTCGAATCGGAAACTTTTTTCTGGTAGGGTTGCATTTAAACGTCTCAAATCTATTACCATCCTCCATTTCTTTGGTCCTTTTTTTGGGACAAGAAAGATCGAGCTTACTTCTAATAGAAATTCTGGGCGTACTGACTGAGTTCCTAAACAACGAATTGCTTTCGTTCTTAATAAGCGGAGTAATTCGTTTTTGACCCAGTCTGATTGTTCTTTTGTTAAAGGGTATTGCTTGGGATCTGGACTTATTGCTAATGGTAGAACTCCTTTTGGCCAAAGAGGCATACCGTTTTCTAACCAATCTAGTATTACAGGAGAAGGTTTTATTTTTATACGCCAATATTTTAGAGCTACTGCGATGTGTATTTTCCCTACTACTGATTCTTGTACAATTTTTTGTAATATCGTTGTTTCTTTCTTTTGCACCTGAGTGTAGTTAATCATCTTGTTTAGATTTTGGTTTGGGTGGTGATCTTTTTGCATTAGGTGAGGGGCAGTTTGGGGAGATGTGACCGATTCCCCTACAATTGTAACAAGTGGCTAAGTCTGAAGAGTTTTGCGGTTTAAAGGCTCTTTTGTTACGAAAGGAAAATACATTTCCTTTCCTTTTCTTACTTCTTTGATATTTTATTGGCTTGTCTTCTGATTCAGAAGATGATGTTGATGAGCTAATGTACTTCCTTTTCATTTTCTTATTTGGCCTTTTCTTATACCTCCAAAGGTTAGTTTTTGGTGTTGCCCACACTTGAGTTGCTGCACCGATCTGGTCCTTATATTTTTGCATCATTTTGTCATTACTACCTACTACCTGCAATGCAAGTTTCCATCCTTTATTATTTGCGAGATGTAACATAACTGCACGTGACTCGATATCTTCTCTTATGGCATAGAATTCATTACTCACTTGCTCAGGTAATAGGGCTATAGCTTTGTCAAGCCATTTACCTGTTTTTATCAAAAAATCATACTCGTACTGGTCACAAGGCCTGTCTAGCTTAACTTCAGGCCACGCTTCGCTCAAAAAGGTTTGCTACTCTGTTTCTTTATAATGTTGATCCTGTAAGGCTTCAAAATTATGGTCTATCTTTTTTTCAATTTTATTTAATGCAGCAAGAAACATCTTAACTAGAACAGGGTTCTCATTCTTTATCGCATCATGGGTTTTTCCTTTCCCTTTAGACGAATGAGAAAACCCAGAGTCATTCCCAACTGATACTCCTAATTTAGGTCCGTCACCAGAGAGTAGTTCAGTTTCAGAACAAACATCACTTATATCCAGAGTCCTGGTACTATCACATCGCATAATTCCAGAGTCACCAAGGGCAGGTTCAGAGTTTTCTGTAAGTTCTATAACTCTATCGTTTTCATCGTGGTTATCATAACCAGGAGCAGGTGAGACGTTATTTCTTTCAGAGAAAAGTGTGCTTAATCTTTCTCCTAACTCTTCTTTGTTACCATACGTATTTAGACTACAGGACTGACACAAGTCCCTTAGGTCGTTCAAGGTCAGTTTTGCCCACTTTCTTCCAAGTGCGGACATTTTTTGAATATTTTATTTAATGATTTTATTTAATGATTTTATTTAATGATTTGTTTATTAAGGCGTTTATTTAGTGATCGTTTCTGTTTAAAGACTAACTTTAATGCTATTTTCAATATAGCTGGCCTACAAATGTATGGCGAGCAATAGCGAAACCAAAGCGAAGAAAAAAATAACTTTACAGCTAATTCACTTTATACCTCCAAATAATTTCTCATTACAAGATCATTAACAAATTATTTCGTCATAATTTAGTAAATTTACTATTACTACATAATTAGTTCAATATTACTTCATTTTTTCAACTAACGCTATTACGTTCGTTTTATGTAACAAAATCCCGTGATCTCGCAATAAT